ATTCTGAACCTATCCCATATCAACTTTTTTCAACTATTTTCTCCTGAAAATATATTAATTAATGCACCAAAAACATATTTTCTTCTGTATGATCCTAAAGATGGTATAATAATAATTATCGAATGTAAGTTTACATTTAAATTTGTATGTGTGCATATTATACACGAGTACATTACAATATAATATACAAATGTATTTGATATAATCTTTTTCATACATCATGAGATATAAATTGCATTCTTTCCAATAAGTAATATCAGTATGAATCATTTTATTTCTTTTAAGAAATTTATATAATGTTAAACATTTTTAATTTTTAATTATTTTATTTACATTTATTTGTATTTTATATAACATATACACTTAACAGTTGATAATTATCTTGTTTGTTAAACAGTTCATACCTTTTTTTGTATTAAAAAGTTTTTGAAAAAAAAAACAATTTTTATCAGTTTTATGCTTAGGTATGTACTTATCATATTTGTATTTTAATTATAGTAAAATAAAGTGATGGTTATTATATAGTTATTGTATGCGTATGTAAAATAAAAGCTGTAACAACTGTGTGGAGAAGTTCACGCTTTTATTTAAAAAGTTCAGAATTGATAAATAATTTAGTTAATAGTTAAAAAATGAAGCAGTTTTTTTATTATTTAAACAAACAAAAAAAAAAAAAAACTAATAAAATTTGAAAAACAAAAACCATAATTAGTACATCACTAAATATACTTTAAAGCATAATTTCAAATAATATATTTTTTTTTTACTTACCTTATTTCCACAGTCAGTTTGAATTACGGACTTAATGGATTAGGTATATTGGTAATTTCTTTGGATAAATATCGGTGAAGTTTAACTAAAAGTTTATCGAATGTTTGATCGGAATTCGATAATACTCAAAAAACTTTTCAGCATGTTGACGTATATGTTCATGAAATTCATTAAATGTATTCAATATATGAATATCATAAATTCTTCATACATTAACTTTATATATTCTTCACAAGACTACACTTTTACAATTATTTTCTCTATACTATTATCTATAATACATAAACCTCATAATTTCTCAATATGTAACTCGTATTTTTATTAATACTACACTTAAAGCAAATGCTTATTAACTAATATTTAACAAAAATCAAAAAACCTATCTCAAATGTTTATACGTTCAATAAGTTACGGCACTTCCACCAATATGTAATGCGATCAGGGGGTGACCAGTTAAACATAGGATATTCAGGGAATGTTTTCTAGTCCTTTTGAATATATTATACCGTAGGTCAGAAGCATAAAAGGGGCGGATTTTAATGTTACGAACAAATATTAATTGGTTCGGATAATTATTTAGGTTTAACACATAAAATAACTTACACGGATATGGATCTTTACATCAAAGCAATACGGAGTTCAGCACACCAACACCGGATGGTCATTGCAACCGAACTGCCGCGTCTTACACATTCGGCATTAGGGTTTATAATAGTGATACATGATGTATGCCCTAGTTGAAATATAGTTTATATACGTATTATACGTATAGACTTGTACTAATATACTTGTTTGTACTAATAACCATATAACAATCGTTACATGGTTATTAGTACACACAAAATTATGTAATGCATTGCTATAAAAGTAATGGCATTACAGCGACGCGTTACTTTCCGTTACGTTATTACCCAACACTGTGAATGGTATATTTTTATAATGAAGCATTGCTCAAAACCGTCTAATTAAAGAAATGTGTTATCATTTCTTTAAAACTCATTGTACCTATTATTACCGTTATCCACTGCCGAGGAACGAAGGAGCGAAATACGAACTTCCGTCATCTTTATCTTACCGGTTTTTTTTATGACTTCAAAATACATTTAATTTTGGTATTTTATCATTTATTCAAATAATTGCAAAAATATTTGAATTCTCGATATGATAGCTGTGTATTTGGGTAATGATAACAATTATATTAAATAATAATAATATTAAAGCAATCAATTGCCGAAGCCGCTTTAAAAATAAATTTACCATTGTACATCAAACTTTATATACTACATTAACGTTGATGTAGTTTTTAATTTACCCAAATTTTGATATTATTTTTTAAGTTTAATTAAAATATTGTATTTTTACAAGTGAAGTAATATACTCTCTCTCTCTGCAGTATTCAATCTAATGATTGGTTTGCAGCAATTTCCATGCTTCTCTATAAGTATATACATTAACTATTAACTACATAGGTTTAAATTTGTAAGCATAAATTTTCCTGTTTACCTACTCTACCAATAGAAAAAGCAAATAATACGCAATTGTGCATTTAAAATAGTTTTTAGAAATATCATGATTTATACTTGGTATTTTATTATAGACAATTTGTACCATAATACAGCCAATTGAGGGGGAGGACTGAAGTCCATTTAGCCTCCTAGGGTCTCCGTCCTAGTATGGTATGTCTTTCAGCAGTCTCTGGATTTAATTTTCACATCATCGGCCGTAGAAGTATCATACTCGTAGATAACTACAATTAGGAGGTATTGCCTATTCTTGCACAGGAGGCAAATATTTTAAGACAACTTTACATGCAGGCAATATTACAATGTTTTTTAAACTAATTTGACTTATCATATTCAAATTTTAATAAAACTTCTTCTAAATAAACTTTTCTCTGAACCTATCGGGATACAGCATCCAAGTATATAAGGTTTAGCTACAGTCTCAAACTCAAGCCGTATTAAAAAATTTGTGTCAAAAACGTTTCGTGCTGTATAACTGAAACTCCATTCTACATAATAAATCATAAAATGTTCAACCATTTTTATCCATTTCTTACCATTTTTAAATCAAATGTAACTTCCTATAATAATAATATAGACCTACTATAACCTAATATAACCTACTTGTAAATATATATTTATTGATTAATTATTTTTATATACTAATATTTTATGAAAGTAATTGTATAAGTAAATGCCAAATGGCTTAAAGACAGTGGTGCTGTGAACATCTGATCGATCATTACTATTTTAAATGAATCACTATCGCCAGGCTTAAGCGTTCAATATCAGAAGTTACTCTAAAAGAAATTTTACTTTGTTATTCGTATAAAAATAGAACTACTAGGTAATATATTATTTACATTCCATAATTATTTAAATTTTTAAAGAATTATGATATTGATTATTAAAGGTGAAAAAAAAGTTGGCAAAAAGATACTTAAAAGTGAGTATACGTTAAATATTTTGTATATAAACAAGTGTCGATAGAGTATTAATTTGCTTGATGTATCTTCTAGTACAGTGGTTCTACCACAATCTATAATTTTATATTTAAAAATTATAAAATTAACGCACTATAGGTGTGTCATCAATAATATTTCATTATTTTCTGTTTAGATTTGAACGAACATTATTTATTGAATATTCGATATTGTTTTTAGTTTTTATAATATTATGTCGGCTCCGTGAATAACTTATAGATGTCGTAGTAAAACTAGTTTTAGAGTAGTACACTCATGCTATCACGCATAACTTTAAGCGTGTGGTTTTAGAAATATAATATACAACTGCCAAACAAAATATTTTCCAAAGGTATTATTAAAAGCCGCGTACAGTACAACAATCAATAATTATTTTTAACAACCGAATGAAAATTGTAAAATGCCAACTGTGTCGATTGAAAATTATTATGTTGTACTGCATATACCCGTGTCATTTTATATAATCTACCGTAGTCGTTTTAATGGTACATAATATATGTGTAGTGTTTGCAGATGATAAGTAAACTTTGTTAAACGGCTTTTTTTCGAGGTGCCAGAGCTTTTGTTGTGACATCATTTTTGAACACGCTTATCATTAAATACGATACGTTCTGCCAACAGTTACAACCAAACGTAATAGTGTACACTTACGTTGTTGTATATTAATATTATACTCGCATTGTCATCGAAATAACGTAGGTGGTACATTATTGTGTGTGTGCATTGTTAAAATGGCAGTACGCAACAGTCGGTAATGAGAACAAATCTCGGTAAATAAGTCTTATTTTTCACATTTTCAGCTCAATAACCATTATTATATTTGTTGTTTGGTTTATTTATTATAATACTACTCTCGGATGTTAAATGTCAAAACTATAAAATGTTCCATTCGCGCGTAACCGCTGAAATTTCTTGCCGTGTATATATATACTATAGTATATACAGAATATATTTTTTAATTTCGTTTCCCCGTTGAATGTTTTAAAAAACGTTTCGGAATACATTAAGTTACCAAAACATTGTGCAACCTAGATTAAGCAATCGACGATTTCAGTCTCGTTTACTAATTCCGTTTTATTTATGTACGCCACGTTAAATGTTCTGTCAATTGTATGAATGTCGTTCGTATATATATTTATACATACACACACACACACGCATTTATTTATATGAGTAAAACAATCTACCTTTTGATTAATAAGTATTTCGCAGGTTTTTAACACTTTACGACTTATTTTGGCTCGTAAATCTTGATCGTTAAAACTAGTCTAGATCGTGAACATAAAATACAAATGTGCAGACGTGGGGTATACTAGTAAATAAGTTCATTATATACCACGAAGGACTTTAAAGGTGGATAAATATAATAAATATAATTGTATTAATTATACAAATAAATAACTAACAAATTTGCGATTATATTGAATCAAACGACTTTATTATTTTATTCATACATTTTACTATAGTCTACATAATTAAAATGATTCACACCAAAAAAGTATTATAATATACGCGTACTTTGTTGATATTTATTTGACTTGATTATATTTAAGTTTAAATAAATTTCCACCTTATAGATAAAAAAAATTAAAGTATAAATAATGATAGTATTAAAATTAATCACAAAGCATTAACTCAAAATTAATTTGACGTTCGCAATCAATACTGTTATAATAGTTATACGTTATGAAAAACAAAATTACTACAACAAAACTTTAATAAATATCTTTCAAAATGATTTTAAAATTAAAGCACTATTTTTTTCAAATTTCTGAAGAGCGAAGTATAAAATATAGGTTTTAATTTCAGATGCCATCGCATTGTTAAAAGTCAATAAGTTATTATCGTCCTTGTTTCATTGGAATTAAAATAGTATTAATCAAGTTCCATTTATAATATAATGTTTATTAGAAAGTGTGAGAACGTTCATTTTAACTTAAAATAATTGTTGCTGAATTATGTTAAATTCATAATTCCTTGTTAACAGTGTAGTCAAATTAAGAATTAATATTTTATGCAGCACATAAACATTCAAAGGCATTTTGTCATATTATACTGGTATACTCGTAATTTAATAACGACGTGTTTAATTTTCTTCGGATTCATTTAAGTAATTTACTTAAATTAATGGCTTTAGGGTAATAATTATTTAAATATAACTGTAGTGAATCATTGAGAGTCTGCTGAGTACTAAATATTAAAAACTTGATTATGAACTTCTTCAGTTTGGAATGGCAACCAATAACCATGCAACAATAATCCACTGCAAAACTTGAGACAGTTTGCTTGACCATGCAAAGTTTTCTGAAAAAAAATTTAAATAAACTATTAAAAATATTAACATTTAGAGTGTTTGAATAATTATTATTGATATTTTAGAGTAGTAAAAGCAAACTGTTTAGCATTATGTAAGTATAAAGGTTTATTCTTTAATATATATGTAATATAATTTAACAAATATTTCCAATAAAACTATAATTATATTAATACTAAACTATTATATAGCATTTTAGTCGATAAATAAACGAACCAAAACTTAAAAATTAAAGTAATACAATAGTTTAACAATGTACATATAAATAATTGATAATTTAAGTTGTAATAAATTGTAATAAACAGTTATGGAATTGAATTCTCTAATAATACTATGTATATAAACATGTTTCAAATTATATAGCACTATGCTATTTCAAAATAAATTATTTGCACTTCTGGTAAAACTGATTTAGTTTCTTTCAGGGTTGTATAATTTAATATATATATATATATTGGGCACTCATGGTCTCGAGTAAGACTGGTTGAAATACTTAGGTAGGCGATTCCAGTGAATCGACCCACTTCACGAGTATAGAGTAAATTTTTTTTAATTTGGTAAAACTGCACACACTTAACCTTAAAGTAGGAAACAACCATAAAAGTTGGATGAATCGACAATTGTCAACGATATGGAGATGCAAAAGACAAGAGGGAAACCATCACCTTAAAAATATTATAAGATTATCTTCAAAGCGAATAATCAAATCTCAAGATGAGCAGATTATAATAAAACAAGTAGAGGATTTCTCCTAACTCGAAAACATTATAATAAATGTGAATAAAACAAGAAAATAATTATGAAAAGAATAGCGTTGTGAGACAGACTCTTCAGCACAAGAAGAACTTACTATTTGACAAAAATCTAAGATCTGAAGACGAGAATACTGTATATAAAGTCCTTTGCATTGAATAAGTTAGTTCGTATGAATACAAATATAAAACATGAACATAATAAAAATAAAAAATAAAGACAGATTAAAAACGATTGAGATGTATATGTGTGGGTAAACTTAACAAAAATCAATTTAACGGAAAGAAAGAGTAATAAAAAAGTAAAAAAGTGTTGGGCGAAAAGAATTTAAAAAAAAAGAATATTTTTAGGAATTTGATTATGAATAAAAAATAAAAGCCGTATTAATTAATTTTTGATATAATTTTAATACATTCTTAACAAGAACAGTTAAATCAGGATATTTGTGATAGAGAATGTATGATTTTGACCGTATAAAAGATTTTAATTCAATTTTTTTTGCTAAAATGATGTGTATAGTATGGTATGTTATAGTGTGTGATTCAAATTTAATTAAATATATTAACTTGAATTAATTACTTGACTTTTTTTTAAATTTAAAATCATTGTTAATCTTAATGTATATGAACAATTAAATTATACAAAATATAAGTGAGGGTTTTTTTTTATATCTTTTATTTAAAAGAAAAATACCATTCGTCAATTAAATCTATAGGTGTCTAACCTATCATAAACAAATTAGTTAAGTATTTGTGCAATTACATATTATTAATATTAAATAGAAAATCAGCATGAAAGATAATATACAGATAACTGGAAGAGATTTGGAATTCAGGAAATGTTGAATATTCGGGATATATATAAAGAATGAGAGAGAAAAATCTAAAGGGAAAGAAGTAACGAGAAAAAAGAATAGATATTTTTTATGTTATATGAAAGAGAAGAGCAAAGTCAAATTACGTAGTAAATGTAACATTCAATTTTGTTTCCGTGTAAAGTACTAAAAGAAACTATGAGAAAGACAGAAGAAGTAGATTGGGAGAAAAATGTGACCATGATGAAGGTGGCAGAAACTAATTTACGTCTGGAAATGTCAAGCTTCTATGAAACAAAGAATATGCAGTTTGTACATTATACTGTTACTAATAATTAGAGGAATTTTTAACCCCCCTTGCATTTTTCATTTTGTGATTAATATTTAGTATGAAGAACTAATATAACAACGTAGTAATTATTTGTTTGTTTGTAGTACCTAGGAACGTCTTAAAATACTATAACTGGTAAAATATACAACTATATTGTAAAAGATGATTTTTCATTTCATTCAAAATGTCAGCTTATTAATTATTATTATAATCATTATGCGTAAGTTTTCATTTATCTTAAACAATTTGTCCGTCAACCCCAAGATTGCATTAGTCTCCGCTAAAAATTAGCTATACACAAACAGCTGTAGCATTATATGGTACATGGTGGCAAAACAAAAAAAAATTATTAGAAAATGCACCGACAATTTTTAGCAGTTCTCAGAATAACATAGTGATAGTTTATCTACATATTTCGGCTAGCACCGAGTCCGAGTCATAACTAGAAACGTTTCGGCCAACATGGTATTTAAATACTATTATCCAACCGTATTATAAATCGAATGTTCGTACTGGAAAAGTAGTAGGAATTCAAATAATAAATGAACAAAACTGTAACACGTATATTGGCTCGTTTAAACGTGACAAAACTTTGTACCGATATTTTGTAAACACATCGACTGACGTACTCTCGTATACTCGCGCACGTGTAATGATGTAATTAGCTGCCGACACATATAAACCGGTGGGGACGTGAGGGATGGACTCATTGTTACACCCTTTCATCGACGTTCGACGAAATGAGCGTGCATTCTAGTCGACCCGTTCCTTGAACAGGCGGCAACAGCAGCAGGAGCAACAACAAGAAGAAAGAAAAAATAAAATAGGAGAAGTTTTGTTCGAAACAAACTTAATTTTCGATGTAAATTAAAAAGGCAGAGTGCAAGGACGCGCACGGACACACGGCGACGTGTTTTCGGGTTTATTTTTTCCGAGTTGTAATGAAAACTCTCCGTTAAAGAACCAAGTGGGTCAGCGACGGCGTAAACTTTTTTTTGTCGTTTTACGCGCATTAATCAACCAACGGAATTACTTTTACTGCTTAAGGAGCTTTTATTGCGAAAACATTTCCTCCAAGTGACCGTAAAACAGATGTTCATCGAATACTAATCTGCTCGGTGTAATACATCATCGACGCGCCGATGACACATTTTAATCTAACGCCGTTGCCGCGTTATTCTGCTCGGCGATACGAACGATTTCAATCGTGACGATCTGTGGAACCGTAACGTCGAAAACATTAAAAATGTGCACGAAAACGGTTACGCGATTCGGCGAAAACCGAATGAAACGTGCGAAACATTTGTTGTTATTATTATTTTATTGTTAAATAAAAACAAATCAAACCGCAGATACACATAAAGACACACACATACTCGTGCAGTACATCGTGAACAAAACAACACGATCATATATCGCACATAGCTGTGTGTACGTGGGTGCATTATACGTACGATCAGTGGCGTAGATATAATTTTTTTCTTTGGGGGAGCGGGGTGTTTAAGAGTCAATTCATGATATTCTTAGTATATCTTAATGTAAGGTCCCATGTAATAATATTGCTTTTAAAATGGTATTATTATTATGTCCTGCATTCAATGAAATTTATTTTGTTACTTAATTTTTAATATACTCGTATAACTTATCATAGTAAAATGAAAATATAGTTTTACTATAATACGTAAATATTAATAAACAATAATTAAAAAAAATCTGGATGGGTGGAAAATCCCTTACCCCCTCCCTCTCCCACCGTAACTACGCCACTGCGTACGATCAGGAATACCATGCCGATATGTTGGCTCACAAATATTGTAACATACCACATGTGACGTTATATTTTCGTAAAAAATAATGATAAACAATAGTGACGATGAAAAGTCATTTAGTATGTACTTGGTTTAAATGTTCAATACGCGATGGCGAAAATTATTCGCGCACAGTAACGCGGTGAAATATCGATTAGTTATTTACAAAATTATTTTAATATTATTATTACAACGTGCACGAAATAATAGGCGAACGCGTGCCGTGCCGCAGTCCAATTCAAACGGACTTTTAAATGTTCCAGGAAATATGTCTATTCGTTTTGTACAAAAAAAAAAAAAAAATAATAAAATAAATAAACTCCATGAATTTATTATACCTCGTAGAACATTATTAAGATAATATCTGAACACAAATTCGATACTCGCACCTGCATTCGAACTCGATGACTGACGACAAGTTTATTTATGAATATATCATTTCGAACGAGACCTACGCCCGGGTCGTATGTCCGCGTGCGATACGACGTAATTATTTTAACTTGTAAAATGTCATTATCACGTGCGGAATACGATAAAAGAATCGGCTATTTTATTACGATCCACGTTTAATAATCTCCGTGCCCGTTGATCGAATCTCATGCTAGATTTTGTGAAGAGACTTGTCCCGGATACCGGATAAATTAATGTAAATTAAATATATTGACCATTGTTCTTCTTCTGTTCATTATTATATCCAGATAAAAATATTCCATGTCATCTCAGGATTATTTAACACGAAAATAATTGTATCATAATAATTGTCAAAGTAAAAATTTTAAATAAATATTTTATTTTTTCTTGCGTGTGTTATACTATATGATCTTATTTGAAAACAGAATAAAGGAATAAAGGAATAAAGCACATAAAAAAAATGGATGGGATGAATTATTCTTTAGCGATTATTTTCCGAATTTATAAATGATAAAAGATCAATTCTAGTTTATTTTCAATAATTTAATAATTTAAGTTTTTAATATATATATATATATATATATTTATAAATTGTTATATTCATAAAAAGGTTTGATTTTTTTTCAAAAACAAATAATAATGTAACTGTATTATCATGTAAAATAAATAAAATAATAATGCAATAATGCGTTTTTGTTGATTAAACAAAAACCTGACGAAACTATATAATTCAATATGGTTTTGAAAGTTCTTTGTGATTACGAAACATAGTTATGCTAATTTTAACAGTCAAATCGTCAAAAATTGCTAATCGAAAGAAAAAAATTACCTTTGTATTAATAGTATAGTCGAGACCCTGGGTGGGTTTAAAAT